TATGTTTTTAACATTATTTAATAACCTTGTTCTATAAAATGGTACATTTGCAGGGTCAGATCCAGGAGACTCCTATTATCTTGGAGCGTGACTAAGCAAAGATGGTTGCTGTGGAAGCATTATATGAGCTGCTAACAAATGACTCATCTTGTGGCAGTGGTCACCACTCGTGAACTAGTAGAGGACATCCTGGAAAATGTTTACAACTGCTATTGTATTATAAAATGTTGATCCATACACTTAGCCATCTCTTGTATATAGTGTAAATTCCAAATGCCATCTCTAAAGGTCAAGTTTACTTCAAATTTTGTAATTGGTTTGTAAGAAGAATAAATACAACCTTTGTGCCAATTACCTTGTTTGCCTTATTAATGATTTTGTGGAACTTTTTTTTTTTTTGTTACATAATTGCATCTTGGGGTACACTTTAAAGGGACACTATAGGCACCCAGACCACTTCAGCTCATTGTACCCAAACCACTTTAATTTCCCACGTCCCTTAACCCTGCAAAGGTAATTATTGCAGTTTTTAATAAAACACATAGAAACCCAGATAAAACATGATGTCCTCTGTCTACCGCTGGCCAGGGGTAGTTTTGATGCTACTGGAGTTCCATAAGTATAAGGTGGCAGCTCTCCAGAGAATTTTGGAGTGTCATGCTTAATCTAAATTTCTAATTAATGGTCTGAATGTCGCTTTGGCACTCCCATTCTCTCCCTGGTGTGTGACATCGTTTCAGGGGTTATACTTCTAGGCTCGTTGTTGGCTCAAGCCCTCAGAGTTTGGTGTGCGATGCAATGCTATGCCGGCTGGCAATGTGTCTTTTTTGAGTATATATGATTTAATTACTCTGAGGCAGATGTTGAGCCTTAGTGGTCTCAAACAGCTTGCGGAGCTACTCAGGTAAAAGACGCCCCACTGCTTTGAACTCTATGCCCCACTGCTTTGAACACACTATGCACAAATTCAACATTTCTACCCATTCATTCCCATAGCGAACTCACCTGATTTGAGAATATTTGCATGAGGGGCCACTACCAGCATAGTTAGTGGTATGTTCAATCAAACAATACTGGGAGAATCTCCTAGACACAACCATTACAGATAAAACCATGTTTCAAGGTACTCCTTTTACACCATAAAAGAATGAGTAGCTCCAAATAATAAAGTTATACATTCTTATCATTTTAGGTTTCCTTAAACAGGATATTTCCCATAGTCTTGCCTGATTGCTAGAGGTGCAGAGAGGACTATGCAACATATATGGTGGGATTGCCTGTTTATGGCACCATACTGGTGTGTGGTTAGAGATACTCTTACTGACATTTTGGTGAGGGAGGGGACCTTTCTACCTATTAAACATTTTTCACTTTCATATAATTTTACTCTTCTTTTCAAGGTTCAAGGCAATCTTCTTTATAAGTTAAAGTATGCATAAGACGTCTGGGTCTACCCACTGTTGTAAAGAGATGTTAATTCTGTATTTATCAAACATAGTTTATATGCTTTTTAAATTCCTTAAATAAAGACTGTCAAGCAAAAAATGTGACAGTAGAAAAAAAAAAAATTACTTTATGCTATTACCAGAAGTTAACCTGTTTTAGTGCCTTGTCACAGTAGTTGGTGTTCTGTTTTTATTTAATTTTTTTGTTAATCTTGACTTTTTTTTTTTTTTTTTTCATCTTTAGGGATTAAATGTATTATTTTATATTGTTAATTTAGTTACTTGGGGCAGTTTAATTGGAAATTGGGGAGTGTTTTATTTATTTATAATTATTAGTATTGTTACTTTTATTTACTTAAAGTTAAAAATGTTTTGTGCCAAGGAGGCTTATAGAATTTTGACAGAGGTGACAGTGCCAAGGAGGCTTACTGGGATTACTCAACTGCTTCTGCAGGGCCCACACCATAAAGCATTCCTTCCCCAAGCATTGCCAATGATGAAGATAACCGGACACCCCCTGATATTAACCCAGATATTTCTATCTTCATAGCAACCCTTGGCTGATGTGTCTAGCTATAGTCAACTTGGGTTTATGCAGCTGTTCCTGGTGGATAATCTTTTATGTAGATTGTTACCCAGACTAACATTTATGCCAAGCAGTATCTTGCCCACATTCTTTTACACCTCTCATTCTGGGCACTCACAATTTTAATCGGGATAATAAAGAAGCCAATTATTTGGTTATACTGATCAAAGATTTTATTTGCAGTTTTTTTCAGACAATGGCAGGGGGAGGGAGTGGCACCTCAGTGTTTTCCTGTAGTACATGTAACAGAAAGCTAAGGTGAAGTACACTGCTCAAAAAAATAAAGGGAACACAAAAATAACACATCCTAGATCTGAATGAATTAAATATTCTTCTGAAATACTTTGTTCTTTACATAGTTAAATGTGCTGACAACAAAATCACACAAAAATTTAAAAATGGATATCAAATTTTTCAACCCATGGAGGTCTGGATTTGGAGTCACACTCAAAATTAAAGTGGAAAAACACACTACAGGCTGATCCAACTTTGATGTAATGTCCTAAAAAACAAGTCAAAATGAGGCTCAGTAGTTTGTGTGGCCTCCACGTGCCTGTATTCCTCCCTACAACGCCTGTGCATGCTCCTGATGAGGTGGCAGATGGTCTCCTGAGGGATCTCCTCCCAGACCTGGACTAAAGCATCTGCCAACTCCTGGACAGTCTGTGGTGTGATGTTGGTGGATGGAGCGAGACATGATGTCCCAGATGTGCTCAATTGGATTCAGGTCTGGGGAACGGGTGGGCCAGTCCATAGCATCAGTGCCTTTGTCTTGCAGGAACTGCTGACACACTCCAGCCACATGAGGTCTAGCATTGTCTTGCATTAGGAGAAACCCAGGGCCAACCGCACCAGCATATAGTCTCACAAGGGGTCTGAGGATCTCATCTCTGTACCTAATGGCAGTCAGGCTACCTCTGGCGAGCACATGGAGGGCTGTGCGGCCCCCCAAAGAAATGCCACCCCACTCCATTACTGACCCACTGTCAAACCGGTCATGCTGGAGGATGTTGCAGGCAGCAGAACGTTCTCCACGGCGTCTCCAGACTCTGTCACGTCTGTCACATGTGCTCAGTGTGAACCTGCTTTCATCTGTGAAGAGCACAGGGCGCCAGTGGCGAATTTGCCAATCTTGGTGTTCTCTGGCAAATGCCAAACGTCCTGCACGGTGTTGGGCTGTAGGCAAAACACCCACCTGTGGACGTCGGGCCCTCATACCACCCTCATGGAGTCTGTTTCTGACCGTTTGAGCAGACACATGCACATGTCATTTTGCAGGGCTCTGGCAGTGCTCCTCCTGTTCCTCCTTGCACAAAGGCAGAGGTGGCGGTCCTGCTGCTGGGTTGTTGCCTTCCTACGGCCTCCTCCACGTCTCCTGATGTACTGGCCTGTCTCCTGGTAGCGCCTCCATGCTCTGGACACTACGCTGACAGACACAGCAATCCTTCTTGCCACAGCTCTCATTGATGTGCCATTTTGGATGAGCTGCACTACCTGAGCCACTTGTGTGGGTTGTAGACTCTGTCTCATGCTACCACTAGAGTGAAAGCACTGCCAGGATTCAAAAGTGACCAAAACATCAGCCAGGAAGCATAGGAACTGAGAAGTGGTCTGTGGTCACCACTTGCAGAACCACTCCTTTATTGGGGGTGTCTTGCTAATTGCCTATAATTTCCACCTGTTGTCTTTCCCATTTGCACAACATGTGAAAATTGATTGTGGACAGTTTGATTTTACAGAAGTGTGATTGACTTGGAGTTACATTGTGTTGTTTAAGTGTTCCCTTTATTTTTTTGAGCAGTGTATATAGTATAGTATTTGCCACAGAGTGGCAGAATAATTTAAAAAAATATATATATAAACACTTATAAACGGATGGAGCTCCATGTCTGTGCGCATGGGTGGTACAATCCCCGCTTATGGATTTAAAGAAAAAAATCAATTGTGTCTCGTGGTTCTAGTCAGTAATCTGGGTATATAGAACAAAAACAAACAGATGGACTAATATTGTGTAATATGTCTGAATAAAATATAATAGGGTGTAAATGCACTCACATATTCTGGAGCCTATGCAGTGGCTCCTCACATATGGTGTGAAGTGTTTGTTATCCCCACTCTGGGATTGCTGGTGAGCGCAGTTATTACTCGTATATTTAGTATCCAATAAAACTGAGATGAGAAAAATATAGTGCACACTATAGTACAGGTTAGTGCAAATAACTGAAAAATCTGTCACAGAGAGAGAGCAAAAAATTGGTTTTGCTCATTCTATACAGCATAGGTGGTATGTTTCCCAACAACTAAATTGATGTCCAGAAGGTGATGATCTAAGCAAGCAGGAGAGTCCAGAGTTTCATGAATAATATAAACCAACTTTTTTCTAATGCATTGTATTCCATTTTAGCCAATTATGTAACACTAATGTGTTTCATAAAATTGAGCATTTTCAAAGTGTTACACTAAACTGGACCAACACTCCTTATATAGCAAACTGTGGTTAATCAGTTTAATGACTACAGTAAGTGCCTACAGAAACGTCATCTTCAGTTTGATCCCTAATTTCAAAGTAAATTTTGCAAATGTTTATATACCTAAAAAGAAAAATAGCATTGATAAAGTACTAATACAGTATAAGGGACTACTGTGATTCAAACAGCTTACACCATCCCCCAAATAATAAATCTATATATGGTATTACACTGTATACATTTTGTAAATGTGTCAAAGGATACGTATACCAGGGCTTAAAATAGCGATCAACAAGTCAAAATAAAAAAATAGCTACCAGAAAAGTATGCACATACACATTTAATTGTCTGCTGTAGAGTGTTTCTGATAATGCAGTTCTACACGCATGTGAATGCAGCGGTATAACAGAGTGGATTTATATGTCCTTATACAAATATTAGAAGTCTGTTTATGAATTACATACCCATGGACATGTCTGCCTATAAATATGTGAAATGAGATCTGTATATAACCGTGTTTGATAACAGAGTTATGATGTGTCTGCTTTTATATAACTGAATTAATGTAAACTTGTGTATTATTATTATTATGATGATATTTATAGAGCAAAGTCAAAAGCGCTTTACAATGGGTGGACGAACAGACATGTAGTTGTAACCAGACAAGTTGGACACACAGGAACAGAGGGGTTGAGGGCCCTGCTCAATGAGCTTACATGCTAGAGGAAGTGGGGTAAATTGATACAAAAAGGTAAGGATAGTATTAGACTAGTGACAGTTGCAGAAGAGGAATCAGTCAGGAGCTATTAACAGTTTAATTGATACGCTTTTATGAAGTAGTGTGTTTTTTAACGATTTTTTGAAGGAGTGGAGATTGGGTGAGCATCTAATGGAGGAGGGAAGCGAGTTCCACAGGAAAGGTGGGAGTACGGACAGAAGATAGATGTAAGTCTTCAGCAGATCGTAAGGGCCTAGATGGGACATACTTGTGTATAAGGGAGGATAGATAGGTGGGAGCAGCATTATGTAGCGATTTGAAAGCAAGAACCAGAATTTTAAATTGAGCTCTATAGTTTAGAAGCCAATGTAGGGACTGACAGAAGGGTGAGGCATGAGAGGTGCGGGCGGACAGGAAGATGAGCCTCGCCGCCGCATTCATTATGGACTGTAACGGCGCAAGTTGGGAGCACGTAAGACCACTGAGAAGCGGATTACAGTAGTCAAGGCGAGAAAGGACAGTGGAATGGACCAACACCTTAGTCGCATCTGGCGTTAAGTTGAGTTGGAACTTGTAAATCAAGTAGTGTGGGTTTATATATCTGTAGAAATCAGTGTGTCTGTATTTGTGTGTTTTAAATAGACTTACTTAAAAACCCCATCTGTGAATATGGGGTTACGTCACTGTTAATATCTCTATAATGTGTGAGGAGATATAGACACACAGACAATCTGAAAATAACATAACCCCCCTCACACACACACACACACATCCTTCCTAACTACATCAGAGTAATACTGTTCTCATTCCTCTGCTACTGCTCTCTTCAGTGTCTCCAGGAGGCAGTGGTGTCTCCAGGATTCATACTTATGAGGGACCAGGGACAAAAGTAGGGGGGCAGTTATAAAATATGTATGTGTGTATATATATATATATATATATATATATATATATACACCCTGTTCCAAATTATTATGCAAATTATATTTTTCTCATTTACCTAAATAATTGATGTAAATAGCAGTCAGCATAATTCTCATGTTCTCAACTATTCGGAGTACAATTCAAATTTTATTGAACAAACCTAATGATAACAGTATTTTTTTTAAACATAAACTTACAATGCACTGTTCCAAATTATTACGGACAGTAAGTTTCAAAACACTTTATAGGTTGTAAAGATCTGAAAATTGTCATTTGTTGTGTTTGCAGCATATTTACTTAACCCCTTCAGGACGGAGTCAATAGTGCACATTCTGATCAAAATGTAAACAAAAACTGGAATTTGCACTTTATGTCTGTTCAACCTTAATTCCCCGCTATCACATTAAGTGCACCCACACTTATTATATATCATTTTGTTCAGGAAAAACAGGGCTTTAATTTATCAATAACTGTTCACATATGGAACATAATTTATTATGAATAAAATGTAAAAAAATGTGAGAATAAGATTTTTTTTAAAATTTGTATTTCCGTCTGACATTTTAGTTGTGAATGTCATAATACTGTTCGGTTTTACTGCAAAAAAATGCACATATTTGTAATCAGCGATGTCTCATGAGTACAACAGTACCCCCCATTAACAGGTTTTATGGTGTTTTGGAAAGTCTTGGCCAGTGTTTGTGACTAAGTGGCTACTAAGAAAGACTGGACATACCCCACTTGCAATACTTTGGGTTGTCTACTTTTGCAAATGGTATGCCATCATGGGGGGTAATTCTCATTCCTGGGCTACCATACGCTCTCAAAAGCAACATAACCAATCTGGCAAATTTCAATGTCAAAAAAATGAAATGCACGCCTTATATGTAACTTTCCAAAACACCATAAAACCTGTACATGGGGGGTACTGGTATTCTCGGGAGACTTCACTAAACACAAATATTAGTGTTATAAAACAGTAAAACATATTATAACAATAATATAGTCCATAAAACTGCCATTCGTTTGTAAAAAAAATGCAAAAAAAAGTAACTTTTACTTAAAATATCATCGTTGTAATACAATTTACCAATTTGAAACACTAATATTTGAGTTCAGAAGTCTCCCGAGTAAAACAGTACCCCCTATGTACAGGTTTTATGGTGTCTTGGAGAGTTACACGGTCAAATATAGTGCTTGCGAATTGTAGATTATGCTAACGTAGTGTACCTATAATCTTAATTTTAATAATGACAGGAGGCGAGTATTTTGCATAACCTTCTTTACTTTATGCCTCCAGCAGCACAAGTCAATCAATAAACTTTAAACCAATCAGTAACAGGCATCACATCCATATATAAAGCCCTGACAGACACATGACTTCCTCTTTCTTTTATGCGAAAAACAGTCTATTATAACGTCAGGGAATTCAAATAACAGTGCTGAGTAACGTGTAGCACATAACTTGAAACGAAACTTGAAACCTTCCAGCTTTATCTTGACCAATCCATCTATGATGATTACGCTGAAAAGAACAGAAATACGTGAAAGGTGATGGAAACCAACTGTTGTCCACATTAAATCCAGTACTATACGTATCTATATTTATATTAAGTTAATATTATTATTATTATTATTATTATTATTATTTTATTATTTATATAGCGCCAAAAAATTCCGTAGCGCTGTACAATGGGTGGACTAACAGACACATAATTGAGATCAGTCCACTGACGTACAGGAACAGAGGGGGTTGAGGACCCTGCTCGAGCTTACATGCTAGAGGGAGTGGGGTAATATACTGAAACATTAAACAACCATAGTATACTTAATAATCAACACGGATCTAACACATGTCAACCAAATAAGCATCCCATAAATATACTGAATTACGAAAACCTTATAATTTACACTGAGAAAATGACAAACCAGATTATAAAAATTTTCCAGAGTATAGGGAGGGAAACTACTCACCTCCTGTCATTAGTAAAATTAAGATTATAGGTACACTTCGTTAGCATAATCTACAATTTTATCACATGACAGGAGGCTTCATATTTTGCATTTTTAAAGCTGTGGTATGAGCGAGAAGGATGCGTGTGTGGTTGACGAAAATAAGTATGGAAGTAGTCTATCTGTGTCCAATTCGTCACTGAAAATATAGAGGCCCCTTCGTGAAGACCTGAGAAGCAGCCGTGCCTCTTACCGAATGAGTACCCAAACATGTCTCCACCCTCGCTAGCGATAACAACCAATGAACCATCTAGACAGAGTGTTCATGGTAACTGGCTTGTATGTTTGGTATAAGACCAGCAGATGTCCTGAATGTGACATTCTAAGTGTTGTTGTGATCTCCATGTAACAAAGTACCGCTTTAACTGCACAAAGACTGGGAAACCGTCGGTAACAGGGAACGATATGGACGCGGATAAGATATAGTTCTACAAGACACTGTAGAAATCATTCCTTCCGGTGATACCGAAAAGACCGTCTACGTCGAACTCCAGTACATCTGATACCCGACGAAAAGACCTAAAAGTAACGTGACTCTGGGTAACGGCTGACGGAGGGATAGGACCGTGATATCTGGCTAGCTCCAAAAGAACCAAATCAAAGTCCCACACCAGTGATACTTTGAAGCATGGTTCTGGACAGTTTGATACCCCGCAGAACACGGCATATCAAATGCTCTTGATCGACCGGAGTGTCGTGAATCGTGCTATGCGTCGTCGAAATCGCGGAACGTAGCCCGTTAATGGAACGTTCCGATTGACCCGTAGTGAAAAGGTATGATAAAGATCCAGCATCGAGGAGATAGGAGTGATAAAGGGATCGCAGTCCCTTCCCATACCCCAGCGAACTACATGTGTTTGTGGGGATATTTATGTGATAATAATAGTAAACAGTGAGAATTGCCCACTAATTCAATTCTCAGACCCCAAAGATCGTTATCGTGTTAAGTGAAAAGTATTTCATATAATTAATATCACAATTTTGTTATAAAAATAGATTTATTTTTATTATTTTTTTTTTAATTCTTTATTTTATTGCGGCATATGAGATGGGGTACAGAAGAGAGGAAAGGGAAATGTACATTTTGTTCACAGGATGAGATAGTACATCGTTATCATTAGGTAGATACATTTCCTTGTTTAGTAATACCACTTTTCTTATTTTTTCAAGTCGATTAACACAACAAAGATTAAAGCTGTTATAGCTATTCTATGCATGCTTGGTTGAGCAATATTTGTGTGCTTATTTAGTTACAGGCTTATGCAAAATATCAGTTACAGGTTTCTCTAGCTGATTGCATGAATTTGACCACCAGGGGGCAGCAAGTCGCTGGGGTAGCCGGCTAAAGCGTGCATGTGTGCACCGTCATTGTTAAGTGATTTCTAAATCGTTGCCAGGTGAATCTGCAGAAACGAAATCAACCTTATTAAACTCAAAATGAACTCAAAGTACTACTGGGACTTAGAATGACCTGTTAACATAAAGGATATACAATGCTCTGCTAGGATTCTAGGTATATATGAGTAACAGTCGCTTAATTACTCCTGCAGCAGTGCTGGGTCGGCTGGCGACCTGGCTGTAAACAAGTTCCTTTTGTTCCACGCTGAGGTACTTGTTGGCCAGAGGTGTATTCGGGCTTATGTGTCTGCCGATATCAGTCTCATATATAAAATAAGGCCTGTGTCCAGTGCCCGTTATCCCTCCATGTTCAAGCAGGGTACCAGTATTAGCCGTGCTTACTTGCTAGATGTAGACCCTTCAGAATGTCTGATGGGCGGAGTGGGTATACCGCTAGCCGCTGTCCGCCGTCCCTGAGAAGTGTTCCGGGTTGTTTCCAGTTCCAGACAGCACCCAGCCGTTGTTCTGCAGTTGCTGACACTGGGCGCGGCGGCCATCTTGCCTCGCGGTCCCTGGGTGATCTTTTCACCGCGTCGGTGGCCAGGAAGGATCATTGCCTCCATGGTGGGGTCCGGGATAACCCCCCCGGCCCACGGGGGGGGGAACGGGGCCCTCAGCGGGCATGTGGGAGGGTCCACCGGACTAAGCGCGGGAGATCGGCCGTTTCTCCCGCCAGAGCCTCACGATAGGCCGCAGTTCCATCTGCCCTGCATTCAGCTTTGCCAGCGCAACGAGGGCCGACAGCCGCACCGAGGGTTTTGGCTCGGGTCCCCTTTGCCTTCTCATTTCTACCTAGTGCGTTTTAGGGGGAGATTTTGTAGTTTTGGGGCTGTTCATTAAGCATTCATTGCGGAGCCGAAGCGCCCCACGTCCGTCCAGCTCGGCGGTCAGGCCCCGCCCCCCTAAAAATAGATTTTAATAACAAGTTAATTAATAATAATAATATGTAACATGCGTGACAATAATCAATGAATATCCAGTATAAAATGGTATGCAATACAAAGGAATGGGTATACACGTTTCAATGGCTAAACAGCATTTTCTGTCAAGACACGATTTATGAGGTATCCTTACACAGAGAGAAAGTGAAGCTTTTCACAGCGAAGGGCCATAAAACCCTGGCTAACAGTTAGAATAACCCTTTCAATGCTGGCTAGATCCTCCTAAGTAATTAAGATCTATTCTTATGTAATTTTAAACAAAATAACATTAAACCAGTTCATTAGTCATTTCCTGGAACCATCGAATAAGAGAATCTACCATGTTATATAAGCAGAGTTTAATTTGTCTAAAAGATATCTTATCTTAATTTAGAACAAATCAATACACCTGGATAAAAACAGCGGTATGCTAACACGTGATAATATCACATCAATATATAATTATTCTTAATTCCACCTGCAGAATGGAATGTTTATAACTATATATTCTTTAGTTAACTAAGATTTCTTAATATGGAAATCTGACCGTGCTTTATCCAGTCATATATCATGCTATTAGTAAATTTTAATTAATTTAATTAATTAAATGAAACCAGTATAATTACCAGTTGAGTAGATATTTCATCCGATTGGTAGATAGTCTCAGGAACTTATTTGGATGTCTCTCTGCATGGAGGTGTGTAGGTAATAGTGTCCTAGAGTGGATATCTGTCATAGGCCTCTCTGCATTGCTTCCGACTGCTCACTTCTTTGCTTTCTTTGCATGCCCTTGCATTCCTCGTCTACCTCCTTTTTCTCAACCCTCCTGTCTTCCCTTTGTCCTAACTTTTAAAGGGCCAGACTCTCTGTACGTCATCAGTTGATAACCCAATAGAAGCACTGGGGGTGTGGTTATCTAGGGATCGCAATTTAGTTATTTGATCTATAGAGGGCAGTCTTGTCCCACTAAACATACCTATCCAGGAAAGAGTTAACTTTTCCTGGTGGCTATTTTGACGTCATTTTGGCGTTATCTTTATAGTTGCCATCATTTAAGTTTTCTGTCAGATCAAACAGTTTCTTAAGTTTTGTCCAGACTATGTGTCTGGCAAATTCTGCTATAATTTCTGATATGGCAGTTCATGAACTAAGATTCACCTTAAATTTACAATAGGGTCTTGTACATATAGAAAGTAAAATTTTATTATTTAATCTCCTCTGTCACAAATGTCTGGGTTTAGAATGCATCTATTCCATTAGCATTTTAGACAGTCTGTCCAACCCCCGTTCTCCTTATCACTTGGTTTGTATATACTATGCATTCCTTTAGCTCTGGGAACGTGGTTAGTTTTACAGATAGAAATCTTGTGTCTTTTTGTTAACTTGAAAATAACAAAATGGAGTCTGGTCTGTTCAGAGTGACTCAGAATATACACTTTTAATTTCTATCATAGCACAAGATGTCTGCCGATATAAATACCCTGACATGTTCCATACGGATAAGTTATTTTGGGGACTACCTGATTCCCATAATAGGTCTCTAGTTGGTTGCGATAGTCCCTTGACATACCAGTCTCCCCTGAAAGACACCAATCTACCAACTCCAGATGCTCCTGCATTATCAATGGATGATGTTCTCCTTTTGGATCTGCCCGAAGGCAAGTTAAAACTGAAGGAGCAGAGGATGATCCCGATTAAGGACAACCCTTCTGGGTGTCATGCTTGACTCCTTTACCGCGGTAATAAGTACTATCGAAGTCTTTGCTATTCTGATCCCAATTTCATAGGGTTGTCCGGATCTCAGGCAGTGGGCTTTCAGCCGATGTCTGGCCCGGTAGTGAAGCGGTCCTGGGAAATAGTCAAAGGGTTATGGTGCCTTTCCGCCGTACCTGTCGAATTTCCTTACGAATCGTCCCTATCAATGATGTGGGAAGGTGTAATCCGCCCAAGGTGGAATCTATTCCGAAGTAGAGGAACTAAATCACTCGGAACTGGGATCGAACCGACTCCTCTCTGTTCACTATGAATCCCAACAATTCCCAAAACTGTAAACATAAATCTTGTTTGTAAACATAGTCATGAATTGGATTTGCAAAAGGTAAATCGTTTAGGTATGCAACAACGGATACCCTTTGCTTTTCAGTGCGCCGTGACCGACTTCAGAAACTTCATGAGGCACCATGTGAACCTGTAGGTAAGTGCCCTTCAAGTCCAACCTTGTAGATCCCCTAAGAGATGGATACCTTCCTTCTTGAGTTGTCGGTACGCCCCAAAACCATTGGGTTGGCGTAGGTTGATGACTGGGCGATAGTCTACTATCTTCTTCCTTACTACCAAACCGTTGCTGAGATAAATGGTTCTCCAAACGATAGTCCGTCCGCCTGAGGTCCTCGCTCTTTCGTCCCTAACTTCAATAGTTTGAAATCCATCGTTAATCGGGCTGCTTTGCGCTGTTCTGTGCACCTGTCTGCCTTCCGTTCCCCAACCTACATATTGCCCTTTGCACCCATTCCCTCACATCGTGAGCTTCTAGAGGTGAGTCTTGGGTGGAGTCAGGTCCGCAAAGTATAGAATTTTTTCCCGGGCTGATCATGTCCAGTATTTCATGTTAACTCGTTTTGAGTCCTCCTCCTACACCTTTACATGGACCCCGGCCTGATCGGGACATACATATCACCACGAGCTCCATGGTGAGAACTATCTTGTTCGGACATAGAGGGCGTGGGCATTCCATCCTGAGCTTGTCTCGGATTTCTTTTCCCATAACCTCCTGAGCCAGAAGTGGGCAAAATGTGCCCGGTGCTCCGGTTAACCCCATTCGGATTATCCTGGGTGTCGGATGGTGCGTGAGTCAAAACAGGAGTGTCCAGTGTGCCAAAGAAAAAACCTTTCTTGTTAGGCGGGTCATGTCACTTTTACCTCTTCAGATGGAGACTCTTCTGCCTTCCATTCTTTCATGATCTCCAGAGAAGGGGGGGAATTAAGTCCTCGTCCCCTGATGATGGGTGTCCGACCTAACGTTGTCGGTATCTCAATCTTCCATTGGAGTTGGTGCCGTTGCACCCGCTCTGTCGGATGGGTTGTTAGCCAGCATACTGGTGAGGACTTCTTCCCCCGAAGCTGCCATGGCGGCCTTAATCCTCGCCTGAAAGTCGGTCAGGGATATTGAGGGAAGTCTGACATGTTGGTTTACACCCTTTCGGTCTGTGGGAGACAGAATCGTGCAACAGTACACTTATTGCCACTCAGTGGGCCTCCGCGTATAACTGGGGTCACCCAGAATTTTGATCAATCAGTATCACTTTCGCAGGATGTGGGGAGTGGTCTGAGAATGAGGACACCCTCAGTAAGACCGGGATGAGCGGTCTGCAATGTCGGGACGTAGCCCAAGTCTGGGAGACGTGAAAGCCTCAATATGGCTCCACGGGGTTAATCCTTATATGGTCTAGAATTGTGGAGTTTTGGCAGTACTGTGAGTTCTCCTTCTGGGTTAAGGGAAGGGTGTACGGAACCCCAGTTGAAGCATAGAGGTGTCGGAATAAATGTCTGTTCGTCCACCGATTGTAAAGCACTGCGGAATTTGACGGTGCTCTATAAATATCATAATAATAATATATATAAATACATTTCTATTTTAATTATACACATGTCTAATATATTTTTTTTACAGCTCCCACCAGCAGGGGGACTGTCTGACATTTTAGACAGTCAACCTGCTGGCAGATCCACAGCCAGCTATAGGGGGCCATGTGATCGCTCTTTGAGAGTGATCACATGGCCCCTGGGGGCTTCTTTTGCCGTGGAAGGGCTGCTGGGCTGTCAGGCAGTCCTCCCGAAGAGGATTGTGGCGGAGGTGAGTATCCCAGGCGCTCTGGGGGCTGCAGCCGATACGGCGTTCTATGCCACCGCAACGGCTTTAAAGTCCATTTAAATGGGGACGGCATAGAACGCCGTAACGGCGATAAGGGGTTAAATCAAGAGCTATTTCAGTCAAACCTATAACAACGTTTTAACTTTTTAAACATTTTAACAGGTCACATTACATTTTAACATAGGACCCCTTATTTCATAGCAGCTTCACAAGTCTTGCATCTATTAAACTTGTGAGTTTTTGGACAGTTTCTGCTTGAATTTGTTTGCAAGATGTCAGAATAGCCTCCCAGAGCTGCTGTTTGGATGTAAACTGCCTCCCACCCTCATAGATCTTTTGCTTGAGGATGCTCCAAAGGTTCTCAATAGGATTAAGGTCAGGGGAGGATAGAGGCCACACCATGACTTTCTCTCCTTTAATCCCTATAGCAGCCATTGATGCAGAGGTATTCTTTGCAGCATGAGATGGTGCATTGTCATGCATGAAGATGATTTTATTACAGAAAGGATAGTTCTTCCTTCTGTACCAGGGAAGAAAGTGGTCAGTCAGAAACTCCACATACTTTGCAGAGGTCATCTTTACACCTTCAGAGACCCTAAAGGGGCCGATCATCTCTCTTCCAATGATTCCTGCCCAAAACATGACTCCACCACCTCC